TCATCATCATCATCATCATCATCATCATCATCATCATCATCATCATCATCATCATCATCATCATCATCATCATCATCATCATCATCATCACAGTAGGAAAAGTAGAGAACAACTGGAGTGTCTTTATTAATTCGGTCAGTAAATGTAAACATGTTAACGAAAACTGTTTGATTTACTGGTTTACTTTTGGTTTACAGTTCACTGTTTTGCCACGTAAGCTACTTCAGAAGTGACTGAATATAAAATTAAAGGTATAATGACAATGAGGAACAAGAACAAGAACAAGAACAAGAACCAAAAAAGGAGGAGGAGGAGAAGGCGGAGGGAGAGGAGCAAAAAGAAGAACAAGAACAATAAGAAAAATAAAAACAAAAGCAAGAACAAAATGAACAACAAGAACAAGAACAAGAACAAGAACAATTACATCGGAAGCAATAACAAAGACAACAGGAGCAATGGCAACATAAGCAACAATAACAAGCTCAGCTAGGCTGTGCACCTGTATGACCTAGTCCGAGTTGTGCCCCTTCACTGTTGACCACTGGTAAGGCCTCATCCTGAAGCTCGCTGATGCTGAGCTCAGACACCCATCTATTCAGCGAACAATCCGCCTCCAATGTGTCTGGAAGATCCGCTGTAAATAGTAAAGACACAGAGAGAATGAAACAGCGATTGAACATTAATGTAAACTTTATACACCCCCAGATCGACACAGTTTTAATTAGTGCTTGTTAATCTTTTTATAGCCAGTGCACCCTTTTGCCAATTTAAAAAGCTAAAATTCTCCCAACGCCCACCTTTATGTAATTCAAACAAGACATAAAATAGTACTTGTCATTACCTGGGTGGTCCCTACCATCCATCAAAATCACAAAATCGCCCACTAAATTAATGAGCAGCCCAGGCTGGCGAGCACTGGTTTTTATTATATCACTTAGGAGAGCGAGCAACTTCATCAACCCATCCTGTCAGGTACAGTCCCAGCTGTGTGGGGTACAAGCAACATTACCAAACAGACAGAAGACGATAGTCGTTTAGAAACAGGTTTGCCACACTGAATTCAAACTCACGTCTTCTGAGTGTGACCACCATGCCATAGACTTTTCTTGAAATGTCGGTGTTTTCACACCTCAATCTACACAATTTAGGTCATTTAGGAGGCGGGCTTTCAACTCTGCCTGTCAGGGAGAGCCCTTTGCTGAAAAGGATACAACATCCCAGCAGAAAGACCGAGATACTCGATAAAAAGTTTCTCCTCCCTCAGGAACCGGACTCGGCTCTCTTACATGGTGCGAGAGCGCAGCGTCTATCCTCTACACCACAGACGCTGGTTCACCATGGACTCTGTTTAAGAAACAAATATATGCACAACATCTTTTCAGAATAATTTATTATTATCTTAGGTCTTTGCATATACACCACAAGACGTACATGAACTCTCCAGTCATAATAAAACGCTTTTTAAAACTTCTGTGACAAGGTGTAATGTAGTGAATAATCATAACAAGTTTTTAAAAATATATATATTATAATATAGCATGCCGTAATTTGGAGAATTTACTCAGAACGAATTTTTTCTCAACTTACTATAATAGATTATATTTCCAAAAAGAGAGGATGTAGGGGCTCTCGTGGTCGAGAGGTTACGGCGTTCGCCTTTCATTCAATAGGTCCCGGGTTCGAATCCAGACAGTGCCTTAAAATTTTCTTCTGTAAAATGTTCTCCTTTTACCTCCTTTCCGGCTCTCTAGTAATGTTCTGTCGTCTACTTTTCCTCTCCACTTTCTACCACCACCCCTCACCTCCTTTGCCCCTTCTTCTGGGATCCTGACTCTTTCTACAGTCGACTACTCTTTTGCTCCTTCTTACTGTTGTCTTTCAGCCACACCCCTGATCTTACAGTAGGTAAGATCTAGCACCCTAGCCTTCTCGGATAAGGGCTAAAAACTCGGAGGTCCTGTGTTCAAATTGCGCACGTAAAATAGCTCTAGGTAGTGTAAAATCGATAAGAAATGGCTTCGGCCGCCACCGAGGCAAAATTCAAAATTTCTTTCTATCTGAAAAGGTTTAATGTGTCCCGTGCGCTCTCATGACCTTATGCAGTTGCGAGCGCCGCACAATACTTACCACAAAAGAGAGAGAGAGAGAGA